GGAGGGGGGGACACAGTGAGGGACAGTGCCCTGGGGGGACTGGAGTGACCCCTTGCTCTGGAACCGGGAGAGGGGCACAGAGGGGTGTTTCCCCCCCACGCCCAGGGTGTCTCTGTGCGGTTGGTGAGGCCCGGACCCAGGATGGGGTCGCTGGCAGTTGGGGGGCCCACAGCCCCAAGGCTGATGGGGACGGGGGCGCTGGGGTGGGCACTGGGATGTCACCTGTGAGGGGTCTCCATCTGCAGCAGTGCAGGGTCACAGCACCTGAGAAAGGGAGCTTGTAGCCCAGGGGGGGTCGGTTGGGGTCTGGCAGGACACAGGAAGTCTTGGGGGCTCGATGGGGGTCTTGCACTTCTCTGTGGTCTGGAGGATGTTGTGAGAAGGTTGGGGGCACCCAAACCATAAAACACGGAATTCAGAGAGCTGGGATGGCACACACAGCAGCTCGGGAAGTTTGTGTCAGCTCCTGTGTACCTGGCCCAGTCAGGGGTGTGCCTGTGAAGTGCCAGGGGACAAGGACCTTTTATAGTCTCTGTTGTCTCTGTACCAGAACACTCTGCTGGGGCGAAATGCGTCACTCCTTTCTTGTGACTGTGGGGAAACCGAGGCACAGGCTGCTGAAGGAGTTTGCCCAAGGTCAGGCACAGAGCAGGTATCAAGGAGGACCCAGGCTGCTGTAGGATGTTGCTGCCACCTTCAAACAAAGCTCCTGGCCTCTGGGTTGCTTATTTGGGTTTATTTTTTTATTGGTTACTACCTAGACTGTGTCCAGGCCCCCGTGGCTTGATGGACCAGTGGCTGAAGTCTCCTGGTGTGGAGGGTGATCCCATGGTCAGCAGGTCTAGAAAGTTTTCCTTGAGAGTAAAGAGGTGAGAAGGTGAACTGGGAAGCCCCTTGCAATAGGGAAGGTCTCTAAGGGGACGCCACTCGCTCAGCAGGTAAATTCCCAGCCCCAGGAGCTCTTGGGCCAAGGGGAACGGCCACGAGCAGCTTTGTGTGCTGCCATACACCCATCTCTGACACAGAACCAGGGAATAAATGTGGCAACAGAGAGGACATGAAGCTGCCCATGATCCAGAGGCACTGCAAGCATGAGAGCAGACAGATCAGGCACCAAGGAGTGCTCAACTGCTTCTTTCCCTTTTCTGTGACCTTGATCAAATTACTTGACCTGTCCTGTCTTCCCTCTTCCTCTGCACCATCCTGGACTGCTTTTCTCTGCTCCTGCCTTGTGCAGCCTCCTGGGTTGTCTTGTTCTGCCTTGGTCCTTGCCTGAATTCCCCATGTCTTGTTCCAGAACTGAGCTGGGCAGTTTTGGTTTGACAGGTTTGGCTGTGGGTCCCCATGCCTGGAAAGGGGTGGTTCACCCTCAGCAGCCCTGACTCCAGGGCCTGGGAATTGACGAGCCTCTTTGGAGAAGACTAGAATGATGCTGAATTTTACAGAGAGCCCAAACCCATTATCAAGATGAGAAAAGTCCAATTAACCTTTATTTCTTGTAAAATGGCAGGTTTCTGTGCCCTCTTGCAGCTTCTGATTTTGGCCAGACCTGGAGGAGTCATCATTCCCCTAAGGCCATTTCTGGTAAAGCCAGAGGAACACTCCCAGGAGAGCCTGGCCTTGTGGGCCTAGAATGATTTGGGGAAGTTTGGGATCTCTTAATTGCCAGAGTAAATGGCTCCTTCCCACTAATGGACACAGCTCGTCCCCACCACGAATGGGTTGTGACTGGCTGTGGAGGGAGAAAGGGAAATGAGTCCTGGAAGCACTGTGGAGCCAGCTGTGCTGCTTGGATATATCCCTTCTCTTCTCAAGCCTAGTTTTGGGGTCCTGCAGGCTATCTGTATTCACCAAGCAGATGCCTTATGGTGTGCAGACCAGGAGTAGCTGGATATGTCTCCATCCTCCCAGGTCAACACTGAGTTTCCTACCTCCAGGAAACCAAATTACCTTGTTCCACTGGGATCAAACGCCACAATCCCTGTCCAGACTGACTGATGGGAGAGGAAATTCCCATTCCTGCTGTGGACAGCATGAGC